TTAAGGAAACAACATTTATGATCATATCTGATCTGATCTTATTTGAGAAAGTATATATAGAAGCAATTAATGCATATATTTAAAAAGTTTCCAAAAAAGGGTATGAATTAAATGATTCAAAAAGTTTTTACTACTATTTTTAGTAAATGGTTATTCTTATTATATATATATAATTATATATATATATAATTATATATATATATGTAGATTTAAGGTTATTAATTCCAGTATAAAGTTTCCTGTTAATTAAAAAAAAAAATTGGAGATGTGGGGAGTTGAACCCCGTATTTCTTAGAAATTTTATCTGAAATATAATCATTGAGCAACATCTCCTTTAGGTTAAACTTCCTTTAATTATTTTCTTACTTTATTCCTTTTGTCAGGAGTTATATATAGTAAAAGACACAATCAGTTAAAAATTATAGAATAATTTGGCCTTTGTTACCAGTCACAATTAGCTGCATGCATTGGCAGTTTAAAGTGAAAAAATTGTTGGATTGTCATACTTAAAATTGATACTTCATAAACATGAAATACGTATGTATAATTACACTTGTCTATTTTCTTCAAGCATATATTTTCTCCACGAATTATGGAGCCCACGAGCAATGGACTGGACATGATCAGTTGCACTAACAATCTTAAAGATGAATTATTGTAAATAAATCTAAAATTAAATAGTGTATAAATATTTTACAAAATATACACACGTGTTTGTTAAGAATTTATTGTTGTATACTAATTAGACAACTTTGATTTAGGAAATGCCAAAAACTCAATCGCTCCAATAATCAAAATTTTTCTAATTTGCATTATAAGGATTTATAATTTATTTAGCATACTCTTCAAAGAAAATATATATACAATAATTTCATTGTAGAAAGTAATCAAAATAAGAAATGGTAAAAAACATATCCATTGTTGCTAATAATATGCAAATAAATTCTAAAAAACAGTTAATATGTTTCAATTTTAAATTTTGATCAATAGTAAAACTATTTAATATATTTGGTCATTATCACTTAAATGGTAAATTACCTTAATTTGAAAATTAATTTATATTTTTTACATATAATGAAATAAAGATTAAGAAAAAATTATATTGGCATATATAAATTCACCAACTTGATTCCGACTGATTAACTGAAAAGAAAGAATTCTACCTAATCTATTACAATTTGCTATAAATATTTTTTAGATACAAAGTGAATAATTGTGAAAAAAAATATTAATATTACGGTTAGAACTTAGAATATGTATTAATATTTATCTTGACAAAAGTATTATCAACATGAATCACAAAAAATCAGTCTTAGAATATATTAAAATGGATATCATTGAACTATTGTAGATGTTCATAAATTTATTTTAGGAAACAATATTTATGATCATATCTGATTTTATCTTATCTGAAAAAGTGTATATAGAAGCAACTAATGCTATATGTTTAAAAAGTTTAGTATGCATTAAATGCTTCTAAAAGTTTGTACTACTATTTTTAGTAAATGGTTATTCTTATATATATATATATATATCTATATTTAAGGTTATTAATTCCAGTATAAAGCTTCCTGGTGATTAAAAAAATATTTTTGGAGAAGCGGGGAGTCGAACCCCGTATTTCTTAGAAATTTTATCTGAAATATAACCATTGAGCTACATTTCCTGTTGGTTAAGCTTCCTGTGATTATTTTCTTACTTTCTTCCTTTTGTCATTAGTTATATATAATAAAAGACTCAATAAGTTAAAAATTATAGAATTGTTTGGCCTTTGTTACCTATCACAATTAGCTGCATGAATTGACAGTTCAAAGTGAAAAAATAGTTAGAATGTCGTACTTAAAATTGATACTTCATAAACATGAAATACGTATGTATAATTGTAACGCCCCGATTTTATTTCAGTAGACATCTCGAAATATTATTATATTATGCATTTTATGGCATTTTATTTTCTCAGCTCGACCAGTAAATTTGATTAATTAGACGGGAGTGTCTATTTTAATCATTTAAGATAAAATAATTTAATTAGACATTGTGGTCTATTTAAATTGTAGCCGTCTTCAAGGTCGTTGAATTATTTTCTCGACTTCTTAGCAATTATTGAGACCGAAAATTAGCATTTATGTTCCAGCCCATTAAGCTTATATTTTTCGGTCACCTTTGTTAATAATCTCCATGTGTTGTTTTGAGGTCCCAATTTTTTTTATTTGATTAAAAATCAAATAATGTTTTTGGATAAGTTTTTGGGGATTATAGATCAGCTTTTCTGTAACTGTATTCCAACTCAGTCCGCACGTTTCACTTAATATTTGGAAGAATTGGTCCACACTTCTTATCGTCTATAACCCTCTCTCCGCCATGTATATAATATATATACATCATACTAGGCAAGATATTCTCCTGTATTGTTCCCTGACAATTCCATCAGAAATCAAGACTTTGAGCATACACTCCAGTTAATCAGAACTCCCATCCAAACCCCTTAAATCCCAGCTCTTAAATCACAGCATTCAAGCCTTTGATCGCCATAATTCCTTAAACCTCGTAGTGCCGTGAGTTATAGCAGACCGAGAGGAGAGCCAAGAAGGCCCCGCAGCACCCGTTCGAGCAACCCTGTTTGTTCGATTAGCATAGCGGATAGCCGTCGTAAGAGCCGAGGCCGAAAACCGACGTCCGAGACTTTTTGTTTTCAGATTTTTCGTTTCCGTTCCATTCCCGAAGAAGGTATATGGCTTAACCTCCTTTAATATTTTCGAGTTATTCTTGAAGGATTAGTTTAGGACTTATGGTTCATGCTAGAGATTATATAAGGAGATTCATGAGAATTTAAGGATTGATGTTGAGCTCTCGGTTTCTATCAGTTAAATTCTGTAAGTCATAAAATTTTGTTGCAGCAGTTAGAAAATGGCTTTAAGTAATTTGTGAAATCATGCAAAATGGTTATTAGTGGAATTCCTTTAATTATTTCAACAATCTTGAGGAAAAAGGATGAGATATTGGTGTAATTTTTACCTCTGTTACTAGGTGTTATAGAAGCAAGAAATTTTTCCTTGTGTTTTCAATTTGGCTTTAGTGCAATTAAGAAAAACTCAAAACCTGTTACCATTTGTTGAGCTTTTATTTTCGAAAAGCTTGAGCAGAGTGCAATTTTTCAGTATATTAAGCCGCGGCTATATTTCTTTTAGTCCTGAAAATATTTGGTTTATATGCCTTTAGTTTTGGTTTAAGATGTTGTCATTTACCTTACAAATAAATTGAGAAAAATGGAATTTTTATAAACTAATTCAGGCCATTTTAAGTTGAAGAATATGGTATTATGGACTCCAAATGTTTTTAAAAGTTGGTCGTAAGATGTGTCGTTGGGTCGAGGAAGTTGTCGGGAAAGAATCGAGCATGGTATCGGGTCACGACAGTCGGGATGCTGCCAGGCCACTGCCGCGAGCACGCAGGCGCACCCGTAAGCAGGCGGGCAGCCGGCACTTGCCGCATACGTCGTGTGCCGCGAGGCCCGTGTGTTAGTAGCCTGTGCGACTCCCTACTGCCGACCCTACCGTGCGAAGAAGACTCCCGCGACCTACAAAGCCCTGCGTCCCGTCCTTTGCGGTCAACTCCTTTTTCCAATCCCGAACCAAATTTTAATAGTTTTAAAAGCCCTTTTTAAAAATGTCCCGAGCGTTAAGATGATTTTTGAGTCGAGGCTAATTATAGATTTTTAAATAATTAATTTCGAGAATTTTTAAAGATTCCGAGTCGAGAGTTCCAACATCTAAGAAAGAGCATAAAGTCTATAAGTCATGAACCTTAAGCTAGAAAATCCTTCAATTGGTAAAGTTAATTTACCAAATCAGAATTAGTTATTTATCCGAGTATCGCTTAATTCATGTAGATTCCGAGGAGTCGAGCCCTCGATTTTCCACATAAGCGACAACTCATCTCAGTAGCAGAACCAGAGTATCCAGGTGGGGAAGTCTATCTAGTACATCATTTTGATTAAACACTGTGATATTTTTGTTTGTCGTTATTTGCATGAATTATGTGTTTCCAGTTTTTCAGTTATATACCGGACGATTGATCACGTACGGTATGAACAGCTATTTCTGTAGTTGTTCCCAGATCAGATATGTCGCATGCTAGCTAGTCCCCCGAGGAGCAGTACTCCGAAGGGCTAAGTAGACAACCAGTGCACCTGAGGGGCAGTACTCCGATGGTTGCTAGAATTTTTCAGTTGCACCTTAGTACTGCTTTGGTTGCTAGAACTCTTTTTGAAACCATGGCTTGTGTATTATATCTGCTTACAACGGTATCTTTTGTTTAATTCGAATGATTGTATTATATAGACTCCAGGTGAGCCCGTTGATTATTACTATGCTCACCCCCCACACCAACCTCTCAGGTTAAGCAGCTGGATTGGCGGCACTGGAGGCAGGGCAGTGTGGTCATCAGTTTATTTTTATTCAGTTATTTATTTCAGACATTGCAGTTATGTTCAGTATTACATTTCCCATGTCGAGACATTGGATTTTTAAGATGATTGCATGTTTGATTTGAGGATTATGAAATTTAGTATTTTGAGACTTAATGCATTTTTGAGTTATTGCATGTCTCCAGTCAATTTGAGAGTTAGAGTTTTCAGAAAAGAAAGAATTTTATGAGTAACGACCCAAATTTAAAGGATTTTCAGAATTTTGAAAAGTTCAAATTTTCTTGAAAATATTACTATTTTCTTTAAATCAAAAGTGGGCGTTACAGTGTGGTATCAGAGCGGGTCTATGGTTCTGTAGACTTGCAAAGTTTTCAAAGTTAGAAATTTTTTCATAATCCTCCAGTTTGAGTATGTATATGACCACCCGCCTCTGCCGTGCCACTCCAGCTTCGAGGTAAGTTTAGTAGTTAAGTATTCGAGATGTCTAAGTTGTGCATTTCTGTGACTTGCATAATTATAAGTTAGATTAGGGGCCTAGAACATTCTCCTCTCAAATTCTTATAACTCCAGTTAGATCTCCTTCGTTAAATTCAAGTTTCCTCTATTTCTGCCAGCTTATGGCAACCAGAGGAAGAGGCAGGGGTAGAGCCGGACGAGGGGGACGAGCAGGCCGAGGAGGTAGGGGCGGCGACCAGCAGCCAGACCCCCTTAATCAGCAGCAGCCGCCGATCTTTCAGCAGCCCCCACCTCATCAGCATCCCCCTGTCTTCCAGCAACCCCCTCCTTATCAGGGGCAGAACCATGTTCAGATCATGGGTCAGTTTCGTGTTCTGTCCCCGCCAACTTTCACCGGGGCAGACGGGCCACAAGCAGTTGATGACTGGTTCATGAACCTCGAGAGGATCTTTGAGGTCCTTAACTACTCAGACCAGGAGAAGATTGTCTGTGCCCGCTTCCAGATGATAGGGGACGCGGGTAGATGGTGGTCAGATGTTTGGCGCCTTAAGACTACAGCCGAGAGAGATGCTATGACCTGGGAGCAGATGAAGCTCTTTATTTCGGAGAGGTACTACCCTTATCATTTCCGGGAGCAGATGGAGAGGCAGTTCTATGCCCTGCAGCAGGGAAACCTATCCGTAGAGGAGTATGAGCGTGAATTTACCAGACTGAGCCACTTTGCCCCGCACATAGTGGACACTGACTTTAAGAAGTCCCGTCGTTTCCTGAACGGGCTGCAGAGGGACCTTCGCTTTGTGCTGAGTAGCCATGGGTCTCTGACCTATGCAGAGACCATTCTGAGAGCTCAGCAAATAGCGGCTAGTCAGCGTCTGGAGTTAGACGCAGCTCAGCAGACAGTGGCTCAGCCCAGGATGATCCAGCCAGTTTCTGTGCAGCCACCCTCGTTTCAGCCAGTCCAGGTGCAGCCAGCCGTTTATCAGCAGTCTTCTGCCCAGCCGTCTGGTAGTGGCGGTAAGAGAAAGTTTGAAGGCAAGAAGAAGAACCAGCAGAACAAGAAGGGAGGAAATGGTGGACGAGGTGACTGTCAGCCAGCACAGCAGACTTCGAGAGCTCGGCCACCCTGTGGCAACTGCGGCCGGACTCACGGGGGACAGTGCTTAGCTGGTCAGAGGATTTGCTACTACTGCATGAAGGAGGGACACATGGCCTTTGATTGCCCGGAGAGAGGCCAGGGGCAGCAGCAGCCCCAACAGCAACCTCAGCAGCAGTTTCAGCAGCAGGCCCAGATCCAGGGAGGAGGAGGGAGAGCCCGTGTGTTTGCCCTGAACCAGCGTGAGGCAGATGCGAACCAAGGTACTATGTCTGGGATGCTTCATATATGTGATGTGCCTGTGTTTGCTTTATGTGATACCGGGGCAACCCACTCTTTTATCTCCAAGAGTTGTGTTGAGGCAGTCGGGATTGAGGGAGTTAGTGTTGTTGATGCTCTCGAGGTTAGCTTGGCCTCGGGAAAGTCAATAGTTACTGATTCTCTAGTTAAGGGTCTGAGTCTTAGTATAGGCGGGAGAACCTTGACCGTCGATGCTTACGTGATCGAGATGCGTGACTTCGACGTGATACTTGGGATGGATTGGCTGAGCAGATACCGAGCAGACATTCGTTGCCTCGACCGAGAGGTGACACTTCATCTTGGAGGAGGCGAAACCATCACTTTCTATGGGGTAAGATCGAGGACAGTTCCGAGGGTTATCTCTACTTTGAGAGCTATGAAGAGCCTTAAAAAGGAGGGTAGCCATGGTTTTCTAGTGAGCATTGTTGTGAGCGAGACCCAGAAGTTGACTCCAGATGGAGTTCCTATTGTGCGTGAGTACCTGGAGGTGTTTCCGGACGAGCTACCAGGAGGACCACCAGATAGACAGGTCGAGTTCTCGATTGACTTGGTTCCGGGAGCGGGCCCTGTGTCGAAGGCACCTTACCGTATGGCTCCGAAGGAGCTGCAGGAGCTGAAGACACAGATTCAGGAGCTATTGAAGCTCGGTTTTGTGCGACCGAGTGTTTCACCGTGGGGAGCACCAGTCCTTTTTGTGAAGAAGAAGGATGGGTCGATGAGGATGTGCATCGACTACCGAGAGCTCAACCGACTCACTGTGAAGAACAAGTACCCATTGCCCAGGATCGAGGACCTGTTTGATCAGTTGAGGGGTGCCAGCGTATTCTCGAAGATAGATTTGAGGTCTGGCTACCATCAACTAAAGATAAAGGAGTCCGATGTTTCTAAGACCGCGTTTCGAACTCGGTATGGCCATTACGAGTTTGTGGTCATGCCCTTCGGATTGAGCAATGCCCCAGCCGTCTTCATGGACCTCATGAATCAAGTGTTCCACCCCTACCTTGATCGGTTTGTCATTGTCTTTATTGATGACATTTTGATATATTCTCGAGACGAGGAGCAGCACGAGCAGCATCTGCGTACAGTTCTAGAGACACTTCGTCGAGAGCGGCTGTATGCCAAGTTTTCGAAGTGTGAGTTCTGGTTGGACCGAGTTGCCTTTCTCGGACACATTGTCACCGCTAAGGGGATAGAGGTTGATCCGAGCAAGATTGAGGCGGTGAGTAACTGGGAGGTTCCAAGGAATGCGAGTGATATTCGCAGTTTCTTGGGACTAGCTGGCTATTACCGTCGCTTTATAGAGGGCTTCTCGAAAATAGCTCAACCATTGACCCAGTTGACTAAGAAGTCAACCAGATTTGTATGGAGTCCCCAGTGTGAGGCGAGCTTCCAGGAGTTGAAGACGAGGCTCACTACTGCACCGGTATTGACCATACCCGACCCGACTTTGGAGTTCACTATCTACAGCGACGCTTCGAAGATGGGCTTGGGTTGTGTGTTAATGCAGCAGGGGAAGGTTGTGGCTTATGCTTCGAGGCAGTTGAAGCCTCATAAACTGAACTATCCTACCCACGACCTAGAGTTAGCGGCTGTGGTTCACGCGTTGAAGATTTGGAGGCATTACCTTTACGGAGGGAAGTGCGAGATTTTCACGGACCACAAGAGCCTGAAGTATCTCTTCACGCAGAAGGAGTTGAACATGAGACAGAGGAGGTGGCTGCAGCTCGTCAAAGACTACGATTGCACGATTAGCTACCATCCCGGGAAAGCTAACGTGGTCGCAGATGCCCTTAGTCGGAAAGGTCGTGGTGTGTTAGCCTGTATCCTAACGCAGCAGGATGAGTTGGTTAGAGAGTTCGAGCGGCTAGAGTTGGAGGAGGTGGAGCCGACTTCTGGAGCCAGTGGTACTGTAGCAGCACTGGTTGTGGGACCGACTCTACGAGAGAAGATAGTAGCCGCTCAGCCGAGTGATCGTTTTCTTTGTCGGATGCGAGAGTTGTCTCGGGCCGGCAAGATAGGAGGATTTGCAGAGACACCTGAAGGAGCATTGGTCTTCGAGCAGAGACTATGTGTACCAAAGGTGTTAGAAATTCGGAGGGGGATTCTCCAGGAGGCACACAATGCCCCGTATACCGTCCATCCAGGCAGTACAAAGATGTACCAGGACCTTAAGAGGTATTTTTGGTGGAGAGGATTGAAGAGAGATGTGGCGAAGTACGTGGACAGATGTTTAGTGTGTCAAAGGGTCAAAGTCGAGCATCAGAAGCCAGCCGGCTTGACTAAGTCGCTTGAGATCCCTATGTGGAAGTGGGAGGACATCACGATGGATTTCGTGGTGGGTTTGCCGAGGACTCGAGAGGGGCATGATGCCATTTGGGTTGTGGTTGATACTTTGACCAAGTGTGCCCATTTTCTGCCCATGCATATGAAGATGTCTATGGAGAAGTTCGCCAAACTCTACATAGATGAGATTGTCCGACTCCATGGGGTGCCCGTTTCGATCGTTTCCGACCGAGACACACGGTTCACCTCGCAGTTTTGGAGGAGCTTGCATCAGGCTATGGGGACAGGGTTGAAATTCAGTACAGCCTATCACCCTCAGACAGACGGACAGTCAGAGCGCACGATCCGGACATTAGAGGACCTTCTGAGGGCGTGCATTCTGGATCGAGGAGGTTCATGGGAGGATTCATTGACATTAGTCGAGTTTGCCTACAACAACAGTTATCAGGCATCGATCGGCATGTCACCGTATGAGGCTTTGTACGGAAGGAAGTGTCGTGTACCCTTGTATTGGGATGAGGTTGGCGAGAGGAAGGTACTTGGGCCAGAGATTATTAAGAAGACAGCAGCTCAGGTAGATGAGATCCGAGTGAGAATCAGGGCAGCCCAAGAACGACAGAGATTCTATGCCAGGAAGAAGAGGAGGGAACAACAGTTCGAGGTTGGCGACAAGGTCTTCTTGAAGGTCTCACCAACGAAAGGTGTAGTCCGTTTCGGGAAGAGAGAGAAGTTGCAGCCTCGTTATGTGGGACCCTTCGAGATACTCAACCGAGTCGGAGACTTAGCCTATCGATTGGCTCTTCCACCAGAGTTTGCGGGAGTGCACAACGTGTTCCACGTCTCTATGTTGAGGAGATATGTGTACGACCCCGAGCATGTAGTAGACTTCGACGGGCTTCAGGTTGGAGAGGATCTGTCTTATGAGGAGGTCCCGCTAGCCGTCCTGGACCGAAAGGTCCATCAGTTGAGGAACCGGGAGGTGTCGCTCGTCAAAGTCCAGTGGAGCCGCCATGGCGAGGCCGAGGCGACTTGGGAGAGAGAGGACGAGCTCCGGAAGAAGTATCCAGAGTTTATGTTTTGAGCTTGTTCTTTGTATTAGTTTTTGGAGTTTATTTCTTTTTAGTAGTTTTTGAGTTGTATTTCCGGGGACGGAAATCATTTAAGGAGGGTAGAATTTAACGCCCCGATTTTATTTCAGTAGACATCTCGAAATATTATTATATTATGCATTTTATGGCATTTTATTTTCTCAGCTCGACCAGTAAATTTGATTAATTAGACGGGAGTGTCTATTTTAATCATTTAAGATAAAATAATTTAATTAGACATTGTGGTCTATTTAAATTGTAGTCGTCTTCAAGGTCGTTGAATTATTTTCTCGACTTCTTAGCAATTATTGAGACCGAAAATTAGCATTTATGTTCCAGCCCATTAAGCTTATATTTTTCGGTCACCTTTGTTAATAATCGCCATGTGTTGTTTTGAGGTCCCAATTTTTTTTATTTGATTAAAAATCAAATAATGTTTTTGGATAAGTTTTTGGGGATTATAGATCAGCTTTTCTGTAACTGTATTCCAACTCAGTCCGCACGTTTCACTTAATATTTGGAAGAATTGGTCCACACTTCTTATCGTCTATAACCCTCTCTCCGCCATGTATATAATATATATACATCATACTAGGCAAGATATTCTCCTGTATTGTTCCCTGACAATTCCATCAGAAATCAAGACTTTGAGCATACACTCCAGTTAATCAGAACTCCCATCCAAACCCCTTAAATCCCAGCTCTTAAATCACAGCATTCAAGCCTTTGATCGCCATAATTCCTTAAACCTCGTAGTGCCGTGAGTTATAGCAGACCGAGAGGAGAGCCAAGCAGGCCCCACAGCACCCGTTCGAGCAGCCCTGTTTGTTCGATTAGCATAGCGGATAGCCGTCGTAAGAGCCGAGGCCGAAAACCGACGTCCGAGACTTTTTGTTTTCAGATTTTTCGTTTCCGTTCCATTCCCGAAGAAGGTATATGGCTTAACCTCCTTTAATATTTTCGAGTTATT